TGCTGCTCCTATTTGCTGTGAGAAGGTGGTCTGGGTGACTGCTGGCAGCAGGTCCTGCCCCCATGACCCTTTCTGGTCTCTGGGGCCTAGGCTTGCCCCCAGGCTATGTAGGCAGTGCACGAACCTCCCCCCCGCGCCCCGCGCCCCAGTCATCTGGAGCTGCCCTTTCTCTCGTGGGTTCAGGATCCCCCCTCCCTCTCAGGGTCCTCAGTCTCCACAGCAGGCACTGAGGGGTATCAGGGAATAAGTCTCTTATTCATGCCTCATATATTGGTGCACTTATTATGTGCCAGGCACTGTGCTGGGCACCAGGGGAGTCAGAGTAGAGCATAACCAGGCATGGTCTCTGCTCTCACGTAGCTCCCAATGTCACAGGGAACGCAGACTTTAAGCAAAGAGCCACACCAAAAAGGGAGAAACTGCAGCCATGGGAAGAGCTATGAAGGCCAGGCCACAATGCAGGTAGGCAAACACTGCATCGGAAGGCCAAGAAAGTTCTCCTGAGCTGATGACCCTAAGCTGAGATCTGAAGAATAAGAGGGAGCTAATTGAATTGAAGAGGGAATAGTGTTCCAGGCAGATGGAACAGCAGGTGCAGAGGCCAAGGGATGAGTGAGGCAGAGTGACGGGAGCATGTAAAGTGAGAAGCAGCTAGTATGGCAGGAGAGACCAGCCCCATGAGGCCATAGAGGCTGGGGTGGAACTTTGGTCCTCAACCCTAGAGTAGTGTGTGTGTGTGTATGGGGGGGGACATGGCAGGGTTTAAAAGCTGTCAGAAATGTGACCAGATTTGCATTTTGAAAATAATAAAAATAACCAACACTGCCAAGTGTTACTATATGCTAGGTTCAGTGCTGAATGCTTTCTTCTAATAATATCACTAGATTCTCACAATATGCAAGATGGGAACTGCTATTCCTATTTTATAGATGAAGGGTTCAGTCTTAAAGAGGTTAGGTCACTCAGCCAAGAAAGAGCCCACAATGAGAAAATGATGAGGCCTGTGCTAAGAACTATCAGGCTACACACTACTCATTCAACCTATGCTACAACCTCAGGAAGTAGGGACTATTATCCCTCCCACTTTACAGATAAGGAAACAGGCCCAGAGAGGTCTAGTAAGTTGCCTGAGGCCACACAGCTTGAAACCAGATTCAGGCCCAGGTAGTCTGGTCCAGAGTGTCCATGCTCTCAATCACGGCCTCATATTACTTCTTGGAAAGTGTTCTAGAAAAAGCTCTTGTGCCACTGTGTGAAGGATGAGGAAGGGATACACAGTGGAGGCAGGGAGAGAGGATAGTGGCTTGGCCTGGGACAGCTGTGACAGAGTACAGTGGACACATTCAGTAAGGGGCTGCATGGGGGCCTGAGTGAGGGTAGAACCTTCAGGGTTGGCTTGCTGCAGCTGGATGGAGAGAATTATTCTCAGAAATGAGGTGGGTGGTGTGGGGATATCACAGATTTGGTCTGGGACAAGAAGAGTTTGGGGTGTAGGACGTCCAGGTGGAGAGTGAAGGATGTGGTTTAGACTCACAGATTGGGTGAGATGGAGGCTCGGGGAGGGGTAAGGCTGTCTAGGAGAGGGAGAGAATGGGGTAAGGCTGTCCAGGAGAGGGAGAGAATGAGAAGAAGGGGGCCTCAGATGCCAGTCCTTAAAGACTGTGTGGGAAGGAGGCAAGGAGGAGAAGCTGCCAGAGGGGGCTGCCACCAGATGTGCCAAACTATGAAAAGCTTGCCCAAGCAAATGGGGTTAGAAATGTTCGCTGTTTAGCAATGTGTGGCATTAGGGCTTGGCAGTACCTGTTTTGATGGCATTTTAGAGAGGGCTGGCATGAGGAAACTGACACAGGGGTGGACTTGCAGAAGCTAAGCCATGAAAAGAAGGTGGCCATAGAAATGATGTGCCTAGGGGGCTCATGATTTTTTTCAATGGGAGAGGCGTAGAGAAAAAGGGCTATATGAGGATGCAGTAAAAAAGTCTGCAAGTCAAGGAGAGAGGGCTCTGGAGAAACCAACCCTATTGGCACCCTGATCTTGAACTTTCAGCCTCCAGAACTGTGAGGAAGTAAATTTCTGTTGTTGTGGGGAGGGGAAAGGTAGATGGGGTAAAAGGGGTCAAATATGTGGTGACAGAAAGAAATCTAACTATGGGAGGTAAACACACAATGCAATATATATATGCCTTACTGTTAAATTGTACAGCTGAAACCAGTAACCTACTGGATTTTGTTAACCAATGTCACTATAAAAAATAAATTAAAAAAATAAATTATAGTACAAGGGCAGAAAAAAAATTTGTTGTTTAAGCCACCCAGTGTGGGTACTTTGTTATGGAAGCCCAAGCAAATGAATACGGATTACAGTTAACCCTTGAACAAAGGTGGAGTGCGGACGTAGACAACCCTGTGCAGTAGAAAATCCGTGTATAACTTTTGACTCCCCTAAAACTTAACTACTAATAGCCTGCTACTGACTGGAGGCTTCACTGATAACATAAGCAGTTAATTAACACATATTTTATTTGTTATATGTATCATATACTATATTCTTACAATGAAGTAAGCTAGAGAAAAGATGTTATTAAAATCATAAGGTTTGCCTGTGAATTTTTTCAGATTGTTGCAAATCTCCAAAAAGTTTCCAATATATTTGCTGGAAAAAAATCCATGTAGAAGTAGACCCATGCAGCTCAAACCTGTGTTGTTCAAGGGTCAACTGTAGTTGGTGAATCAAGGGGACAGATCCAAGAGAAAGGGAGGGAGGGAGAGAGAAGAGATTGAACCATTTCTGGCATGGCATGTAGAGGCCCTGAGGAAGGAGATGGGGTACAGATGAGTATGGGGTTTTGGGAGACAAATTTTCTAGCTGGGGCTTGAGGGGAGCACAGCGGGTTTAGAAGAGCTGCCAAGGGGGAGCTAAGGCAGTCAGTGATGTGGGAAGACGCCAAGCCATAGGTAATACAAGTACCCCCAGCAGCATTCCTAGAGCTGGATGGGATCTTGAGGACAGACGAGTTCAGGGTTTCCTGCTAAAGGAGGTTTCCAAAATGAGGACCCATGGAATCTAAGCTGGAGAGGAAGAGACATGGAGATGGACACATGGACAAATGATGGTCATTCATGACCTGAGGCTCCTTTGCACCCAAATCTTCTAAAGCTGGAGGAGGGCCACCTTCTGGGAGTACAGCTCTGTAGCTCAGCAGTGGGCCTGAATGGGGGTAGGGGAATTGTTGACTTTCACAAAGACAACCAGGCTGTCTGAGCAGGAAAGGACTTCAGGTCGCCCTTGCCATAGCCTCCCTGCACAGAAGGCACAGAGTGGGTAAGGAATGGGAACCAGGTGGCTGCCTGGGACAGGGCCCTTTGAGAGGTATTAGGGGAGGCTTCTCCAGGCCTAAACACACCATCCTTGGTACGAGGGCACTGCAAACTGCCAGTTCGCACTAACATGGGTGAGCAATGCATGCAGTGCCTCTGGCTCTCACTCAGGCTGAGACAGCATAACTATGATGGCCACAGATCCAAGGCCAGGGACTCAACAGAGATGCATTGACAGCCCTGATCCACAGACACACAGACCTTGCCCAGGATACAAGCCCATCCACGGTGAGGAAGATGGCAGCCCAGTGGCTAGAGCCTCTGACACTACTGGTCCTCAGCCCGCACTGCCCAAGGATGTCCGGACCTCTGGTCTCATTTCCCCCTTTTTCCCAGCCAGCTTAGGGGACAGAATAGGCCTGGATCTGACACCCTGTGAACCCAGGGCCCTTCACTACCTGAGGCAGGAAGTGGTAGTGACCGTCAACCAGGCACACTCCCTTACTTAGGACCTCATGGCCAGGTCTTGTGGCAGTTGGGAGAAGGGTTGAATTAAACCACTGAGCACATATCCATCTTGGCATCTCACTAATGCCAAGAGGGGGACCGCATGGGCATCATCATACCCATTTTATAGAAAAACTGAGGCCCAGAAAAGGACCTCAGTGAGTTAGGGGCAAGGCCCCGGGTTTGCCACTACTCCCTAACCTCTTCCCATCTGCAACAGGGGGCAGGAAGTTAGTGGCAAACCCTAAGGGCCCAAGAACAGGGTCTCCTTACCTGGGTCCCGTGGCCTACTCCCTGACTGCATGCCGCCTAATGGGGGTCCTGTGGTTGGCCCCAGATACACGGCTAGCCCAACAGAATAGCTCAGTGTTGTGGGGAAGAGAAGCCCAGCCCATCACGCCGACCGCCTGGGGCCCCATGTATATTTGATGATGTCTATTATTCCTGTTTTGTCTCTGGAAAGGAGCCTGACCAGCTGACAGAGGAGCCAAGAACATCCTGGAGAGCTGGACAGTGGGCCTGTTCCATATTCCAGCCCCCAGGGGAGCTCTCTACCCCTCCTGCATGCCCAGTGCCTGGCAGCCTCACAAAACCTGTTAACATTCAATCCTAAAAGGCACACCTCCTCCAGGAGCCTTCTTGATGGCTCAGACATCTCAGGCTGGGGTTCAAATACCAGTTCTATACTTACAAGCTGTGTAGCCCAGGGCAAGTCACTGCCCCTGGAGAATAGGCTGGTGGGGAGATGGCCCCGCCCAGCCCCTGGCACACAGTAGGGGCTCAGTGAACACTGACTGCCATTCCTTGGCACCATGATGAGGCCCTTTCACCCTTGCCTCCTGAGGCAACAGGAAATGTATGGGCTATCCTGCTCTCACAGGGCAGCTTCCCTGCCACCCCACAAATTACAAGGGCCTTCTGGGGATGCTGCCCACATTGGCAGCCAAACCTGGTCTCAGGAGGTACCATGTCTGGGGTCTGCGACCCCTGGCCAACCTTCCAGGGAAGAGCTTGTCCTTGATGTCTCTACATTCTCCTTTGCACCCCAGGCTTGGGCCTGGTCCCCTAAAGCACAGGCTCCATTCACTTTGATCACCAGGCTAATTGCTGCCTCCCGACCAAACCTGGTAACCAAGTTCAGCGAATTTACAAAACTGACCTCAGTCTGCACAGAAATTGTTTTCATCCTTTATTTCACAGAGAGCTGAGATCAAGGGGGCTTAGAGAGAAAATACAGAACCCAAACTCCAGTCACTACCCCAGGTGTTTGTATAGGGCCTGGGGCCTGGGGTTTTATGCTGGGCAGGGGCTGCCATGGGAAGGAGTAGCACTTCAGGATCCAACAGGCTGCAGAGGGCCTAAGCTAGGGCTTTAAAGCCACTGACCTCTAGTTTCCAACACAGGGCAGCCTTGGGAAGGGGAGGGTGGTAGGAGTTTTTGTCCTGGGGGCCCCCTCCCTGAATACCAGAGAAGCTGCAGGAGCTGAGGCCGAGGTGCCCCAACAGTAACTACTACCTCTAGGGACCCAGGCAGGCCCAGCTCCCCACCCTTGCACTGAGCAAGCCATCTGCTTTAGACCCTGGCTGGGAAGTAAAGCGGCAACTTGCTCTGTCAGTGCCTGAAGGAGGCCAGGGGTAGGGTACAGGCCCAGGGTTCCAAACTTAGAATCCCTGCACAAGGGACAAGTCTCATGGGAAATGCCCCCAGCCCAGCCCAAGACCCACAACCTTGTCCCTCTGTCCCACACACTCTTCATCACCTGCCTACTGAAGAAACTTCTAGAAAAAGCAGAGACTTGAAAGACCCTTTCCTGGAGTATGTGTATTTCTCTTTTCCTGTTTGACGCCCCAGGGAGACTTGGCGGATGGGTGGCCTGGCCCCAGGTCACTATTTCTTGACAATCTGGATGACATCCTCATGTTCCATGGTGTGGGTCAGGCCCACCCGCTGAGGGCTGTACTTGGTGCTGGTGCCCTGGGCAGGGAACAGGGTAGAGGAGCCACATCAGTACTGGCCAAGGCCAAGGCTGATGGAGCTATCAGTGGAGAAAGGTGGTGTGGGGGGGTGTTGAATGCCAGAGTCTAAAGTGGGGGTCCCAGCATCGGCAAACCCCATAGGCCTCAGATGGGACTCCCCAGTGGTCTGACCATCTCTGGATCCCAAAGATGGAGAAGCCATGGGACAACATGCATACCTTGTGGAGTGAGACACACAGATACTCTGGTCTCCATACAGGACGGACACGATGCAGAGGAGTGTAAACCCCTTGCAGAGGAGTGTAAACCCAGGGGCTATGTTGGGTATAACCTTGGCCCGCCTTCTGCCCAAACTTACCCACACCAGTGCATATTTAAACTGGCTGGCGAGCGACCTGTGGATGCGGTGGCACTAGTGGGAGGACAGGAGAGAGTCAGATAGTGAGATGAGGCTCCATTCAACCCCACCAAGCCCTGAGCACATGCCAAGAAGTAGCAATTCCCAAGGTGAGTGCTCAAACAGCATTGGCCTTGTGTCAAGGAACACCACTGTCCACACACAGCCTCATATTCATGGCTGTGGGTTGTTCTGAAGTACCCACTTCCAGTTCTGTCCAAGGTATCCAGTTAGGAAAACCTGGAATAACTGGTATCCAGTTAGGAATGTTCTCATAGCCACTGAAGACAGGTCTGGGACCTGGCTGAACAAGAGCCTGACAGATGCCCGTTCAGAGGAGTGAGAGTAGTATCGGGACACCCAATCCCCTGCCCACCTCAGCTAGAGTCACCACGTTTGGTCACTGTCTCTCATGCCTCCTGTCCATAGCTGTGACCTGGAGTTTCTTGCATATCGCATCGTCCATTCCCGACCCCCAAGACAGTCTACATCCTTTAGCACTCCCAGGTAGAGATGAAGGTCATGAAAATCTCTGCACTGTCAGGAGGCCAGAAGGATTCAGTCTGGGAGGGACAGCCAGCTCTTCCCCTGAGAATGTGGACCCCTGGGTGTATGACGATGGATGGGCGCAGTGGAGGTGGGCTACAAAGAACAGTGTGCAATGGTGCCTCTCTTCTCATGTGCCCACAGCTTTACAGGCCCTGGTTAGAGACCAAATGCCTCAGCTCAGCTTCAGTGGGGATAGAGGCCAACGTCAGGCCTGCAGGAACATTAGCCAAGGATGCCACAGCCATGGCAGAGAGGATGCTACTGTCTGTGACAAACACAGATACCCACACAATTAGTTCCAATACTGTTTCCTAGACCAGAGAATGAAATCTGATGGCCCAGAAGTCAGCTCTGGCCTGCAAACTGGTTTTTAAGTTTATTCGGCTTGCCCAACAACTAAATTAAACCTACTGGCAAAGTTTGCAGAGCAGGGTGATAGTCGGGGATTCTCCTGGGACCCTGAGAGCTTTAGGAGCACTGGGCTGGCGCTCACACCCTTGAGGCAGATTGGCAATGTGCTCTCCAGTTTGCCACAGGCCCCACCATACCCTAGTGTATCTGACACTAAGGTCGAGTGTTATCAATAGAAACCGTTTACCACAGAGCTTGCTCTATGGTTCCCATAGGATAGAAGTTCTCTGTACTTGCATCTCTAGCAATGAGAGAGAATGAAAGGTCATCCAAGGCCATCTTGTCAATGTAGGAGGCAGTATATGGTTTGGGGATAGGAGACTATTGCTCTTTAGAGTCCACTGTGCCTCTCACTCCTGAGACCTACATGGTCCTCTCTTCCTCTGGGGCTTATGGCCCATGACCTTTTTGTAGGCAGGCTTGTTAGCACTCACTGAAAACGTACCAGGGCCTGGGCTGGGTGTATTTCAAAGACCCTGGGGATTGGGTCAGTTACCCCCATATGAGAACATTGAAGCATAGGAAGGCTGACATTATTGGGAACTAGGGTATTACACCAAGTCTGCCTGGCTCCAATGTCTATCTGGTTCCTCTACTTTGGGTCTCTGTTGTCAGCATCCAGGCAGGCCTATATATACATTCTTTGGCACTTGGGACAGGTGGGTATCATGGGACGGTGGGTGAGTGGGGAGGGGGTGACCACTCAAGAGTAGGCCTCTCTGGGACAAAGTCCAGGCTCTGGAGCAAGGCCCCCAAAGTTCCTCCCCACGCTGCTGGCTTCTTCTCACCTGCTGCTTTTGACCCTCCATGCCAGATGATAGCAAACAGCTGACATTCCCCACATTTACTCCTGCCTCTGGGCCTTTGCACCTGTTATTCTCAGTGCCTAGAATATCCTTCTGCTCCTGGTATCTCCTGTTTTCCTCCCAGGTGTGGCTGAATCCCGACAGCCTCTTGAGTAAGCAACTAAGGGCCTGAGAGGGTTGAGAAAACTGCTCACAGAAGATGTAGGGTAACCCCAGGGAGGGCCAGCACATATGGGCACCTGTGTTAATGGCCTGCTGGACCCCAGCAGGAGATACTGCACTCGTGGGTTCCAAAACAGGCCCAGGGAACAGGAACTCCCACACAGAGTTCTTTGGAGTGTTCTAAGGCAGCAATCCCCAATCTTTTTGGCACCAGGGACCGGTGCTCCTATGAGAATCTAATGCTTGATGATCTGAGGTGGAGCTGAGGCAGTGTTGCTAGTGCTGGGGAGAGGTTACAAATATAGATGAAGCTTCGCTGGCAATTCCTGCGGTGAGGCCTAGTTCCTAACAGGCCACTACCGGTCTGCAGCCCAGGGGTTGGGGACCCCTGATCTAAGGGATCTGGGAGAGTAATCTTGAGTTTCTTTGGCTTCTGCCTGGTGAGTAGGCCTTCAAGCCCTGCCCTGTTTGTATTAGCATCTCCAGGCCAGCAGAGGCCTTAGGCTGGGTGTGCCAATTGAATGAAAGAATGTATGAGACCAGATTGTAGGCCCATCCACTGTCAACAGTATAGATCCTGAGAAGAAATGAGCTAGAGGAAAACAAAGGCCCCAGAAGAGGGCTGTGTGACCTGGAGCATTGTCTTAAGCTCTTGGGCCATCACCTGCTCCAGAGGGCCCACAATGCCTTCTGAAAAAGATGGTGTAGGGATACACTCAGGGGATAGGTGATCTCTGTGCCTCTGACAGAGCTCCAGACACAGAAACACACCCTTCCTCTCCCTGGCCCACAGGCTCCGCCCAGAGCCCCTGGCCTCATGGCCTTTGTACATCCTGTCTGAGGAGCTTCCCCTGCCCCTGACTCTTCACAGTCAGGTCCTGCTTGGTCTACAAGACCCACTTACATCACCTCCTCTGAGATGTCCTAGCCTCTCTATGTAGACTCGGTGTTGCATCTTCCCACTCACTGTCCTCTTCTTTTACTGCAATCACCTTTATGTGTGACTTCTTAGTTCTAGGATTGGGTATCTGGCATCTATCGACCCCCAAGGACCCTAGTTCTGGCAGGAACTAAGGCTACTTTGCTGATGCTCAATAAAGTGCGTTGAGTGTGGGAAGCATTCAAAGCCATCCCTGGTCTGGGGGTGCGATGTAGAAGCAGGAAGGGGCAGGCCACAATGGGAGTGGAAAGGGGACCCGGAAGCCAGTAAGGGCCAAGGGCATGGGAGGTGGCAACTCTGAGCCCTAGACCAGAACTGGGGAGACATGACTTGGAATGAACACAGAAGTACCCTGGGGCAGTAGTTCTCCTTGAGAGAATACCTCAATGGCCCTGAGGAGCCCATAGCACTGGGATGAGACGGGATAATGAGGACAACTCCTTCCTGGACATCTACCATGTACCAGGCAGTGTGCCAAGTGCTTTACATGCTTGACCTCATTCGACGCCACCCCCTAACTACCAGGGGGTGGGCAGCACCATTCTCATCTTATAGGAGGATGGAGGTTCAACGTGCAGCTAGGAAGGGTGATTGGGATGCATCTCAGGTCTAACACCAACTCTGCCACTGTAGCACGTGTCATCTAAGAGTCGACTGAGGGCTGGGAGAACTTCAGACAGGACCCCCTCACCACACCCTGAGAGGGGACAGAGAGAAGTCCCTGAGCCCCTAGTCTAGGTAGATCTTGTTAACTTACCACGTGTTCCACGGAGGCCCCTTTCCGGAGGATTATGGCATCTGTGAAGTCTGGCCTCTCTACACAGGTAAAGAGGGGTGTGAGTGTCAACCAAGTCATAGCCTCATGCTATATAGTTCCTTTACACACGGAACAGAGGCCTTTCCAGTCTCCAGCCTTGAACTAATTTTTCCCCTCATATTAGGCACACCCTATCGATCCTCACGCATTCTTCTACAACCTTGAACTTAACACAGAAAATCAAAATGAAGCCAAGTCCAGGATTCAAACTGCCTGTAACCTAGTCTGCCATGAAAGCCCCAAAACTGAGACAAGTCATGTGAAGCACGTGGACTGAACTGGCAAGATATGATAGCTGCTGGAATCCAGTCAGGGGCAGCCACATCTCTCCCCCTGATTACAAGATCAAGGTCAATGAAAACTGCCAGAACTCAGCAGCTAGGTCCCTGAATATGTAAGGTGTGTGTACAGGGGGTAGGGACAAGGAAAAGGCTCTTGTGTATTTACTTGCCTAAAGTTGTGTCGTGGGGCCTGCCACTGCTGGGGGAGGTCAGGAGGCACTTACTGCTGTAGCCAGTAGGGAACTCTATCCCACTGCATCCCACCCCACTCCCACCGCGCCCTTGAGGGAGGGTAAGGCTCAGCTGTTTCTTGGGTTGCACGCTGCTTGACTCACGTCCTCTCTTCTTGGTGTAGATGCAGGTCAGGGCCAAGTATTCCCAAAGCATTTCAAGCAAGTAGTCCAGGTTCAGCTTCATGCCACAGCTGCCAGGGAGGAAAGCAGCTAGTCAGAAGAGACCAATGGGTTCAGAGGCCAGTGGTCCCTGCTTTCTCACTGTTGCAGAGGACAACCTCCATCAGGCTGGGCACAGACACCGAGGCCAGTATGGCCAAGCTGGCGCCTATGGGGAACCAAGCCTATAGTTCTGAAGGCAGCCTGCACTTCAGCTGCCAATGCTTCTGGTCAGCAATCACAATCACACCCAATGGAACTTAGCCATCTTTCCTGGGGGTCACAACTGCTCTCTGTGGAGGACAGATGGCATCTGTAATTGAGACAGGTCACTGGAGCTCTGACTTCCCGCCTGGTACCTGCTGTGTAGAAAATGGTGAGGGGATATGATGGGATTGTGGGCAAAGGATGACAAACCAGAAGCTCACCTCTCCTGAAAGATGGGAGGAGCTGCCAAGTGGCCCAGGGCTGCCCATTACAGAATTCAGTAATGGGGGAGCCCCTGGCTGATTGTTTATAGTTGTCTTACCCTGAATGGGTGTCCTGCCCTCTGCAGAGCTATTGTGAGCATGAGCAAGTAAAGGTGTTCTTACACCCTGAAGACAGGCATGTCCTCAGGCCACCCCTGAAGGGAGCAGGAGGAGAGGAGCTGAGGCTATCCTGCAGGAGGGACCTTCTTGAGTCCAGGACCTACACCCATCGTTTGTACCAGTCACCTCCACTTGGTCCCTGAGCATCTCCCTCCTCATAAGCCAAGCCTCACTGTGAAGCTACAAAGCACCTTGGCTGAGCTGGGAAAACTGGCAAAGTAGAGCATGAGTCAGTCTGCCTCAAAAGAGGAACCCCATAGCAATGATGGGAAGTGAATAAACAGTCATCAGCCAGAGTGCAAGCTGCACTCCCAGGACCCACTCCTGAAGAATGGCAGAGAGCAGGTGGCCAAAGATGGCTCTACCCACTTAAAGACTTCAGTTCCCTCTTCTCTCTGATCTGTGGTTACAGAACCACATCTTCCAGAATATCAAGATACTGGCTCACACCCTAGGGCTTTCTAGCGGACTGAGGTTAACTACTAAGTATGAAGCCTCTTAACCATTCTTAACCATTACCTTGATGGACAAAATCTGTTTTCTTAACCAGAACCCACCCCACATCACCCACACTGTTCATGTCAATTTAGAGTGTGACCAGCAATTGGGAGGGTCCCATCTGCTCTGAGCTGTGCAGTGGAGGCTTTGGCTGGCCAAGGTAGCTGGCAGGCTTCACTGATAGCCTCACACACAGAAAGGATGGCAGAGTCTCACCTGATGACTACACTGTTGGGTTTCCGGGCCAGGCGGTCCACTTCTTCCATTGAGATTTGGTCAATTTTGTTATAAACCTGGGATTAAAAGGAAGAAAAGGACAAAGGAGTATAGGACAAGAGCCCCCAAGCAGCCATGGCCCTGCCTGTGGTTCCTTCCTTTGCACACCATGGTCAGGGGCTGATGCTAAGGTCCTACCTCCCCTCCCAGGCTGAAGGGGCCTGGGCTGCCAGCCTCTCCAGAAGGAAAGGCTGGGTGGGCTAGAAGTGTCAAGCAAGACATGAGTCTACAAGACTCAAGGAGACACTGGAATAGAGGGGAGGTAAGGGTGGAGACAGATCCTATCTGGGTCAAGGGCTCCCCTCCTATAGGGTACCCAGGGGTGTGCTGGTACCACTTACATATAAGCAGGGCATGTACACCCTGTTGCCCACGATCACATCGATGAACTCATCCGGGGAGCAGTCTTCTCGGA